CCCTTTGTGGGGGGGCCAAAACTGGATCCTTACTTTTGGGGATCTTTCACACCCCATGTCCACTTCCACAGCCCTTTGGGAATTCCAGCTGTGCAGCAGGAGGAGAGCCCTGCATTCCTTGGAGGTGTCCCTGGGAGTGAGGGGGGCCAGTCCCTGTCACAGTGGCACCTCAAAATGAGTGCGGAGGCTCTCCCTGCACAATCTGCCTGTCACCACCAATCACTTCAGGTGTCACATGAGGTTTGTGTCACTTGGCAAGGTTCTATTCTCCTCGCTAGCTGTGACCAGCATGAAGCATGGGTTTAAAATGACCCCACTTGCTGTGGGAGAGGGGGAAGTTGTCCCACTCAGAGCCCAGGGGATGTGCAGGTTTGCCCTATGCCTGCCTTGGGCCTTTTCTTGGAGCATCCCCTGAACGGGGCCAGGCTGATGCCATACTGCAGGGCTGAGCATCCTCTGCCATGAGGCTGAGCATCCCCCCTACCTAGCATAACCCTGTCCCTGGATCTCCAGGGTGCTCTGGGGGACAAAGTCTGGGCATCCTGAGTGCATTTGGGACAGCTGCTGAGGGGAAAGAAGGGGGTTTCCCTCACACTCCAGTATCAATACTCTGCCCAGGTGCACCTGCAGTCTGGCAGGTAGCTTTGGAAGCAGGTGGCATCACCCCAAGGCTCGAGTGGAAAGGGGCTGTGTGAAAGGGTTTGGAGAGGGTTTTCTGCAGGTGGGGTTTCTCCAGGAAGGTAAAGCTGAGTGCATCGCAGTCCCTGTCCAACTGCTCTGGTTGCTGAGGTCCAGTTTTGGGTGGAAAACCCAGTGTGGTGTCTTCACAGTGATGGGGAGAATGTGGGGCTGTCCCTTGGCCAGCTCTTTCTGCCAGGAGTGCCTCTGTCTGCTCACCACAGCTGCTCAGGTGGTTTTGGGCTGTTCCCTCACCTTATACCCCTGGGAAGCTGCTCACTGATCAAAGCCAGCAAAGCTGGGAGCTGTGGTGGAGGCCCCAGGGGAGAGCATCAGCCCACAAAGGCAGTGAGGAAACCCCCTCCGTGCCAGGTACCCAGGCAGGCACTGTGCCCCCTCCCACAGCTCCCTCACCACTCTAAAATACCAGCAATTCTGCATGGGGTGTGTGTGTGTGTGTGTGTGTGTGTGTGCTTGTGCAGATACTGTGTTTGAAAATGACCAGTGCAACATCTCAGCCTTCCCTGCTGTGCCTGTGGACTGAAGTGATCCTGACACTAAGCAAAGGAAAAGGAGGCTGATCAAAGCTGAGTGGAATTTTTTTATTTTTTTTTTTAATCTTTCTTTAAGTGCGAACACCATCTGTCTCCCCCAACTCCGTCAGCGCTTCCAGTCCCCAGGCAGCTTCGTTCTTCCTAATTACTGTCATTAGGCACTGGGTAGCAATTAGGGAGGGATGCTGATGAGCAGCATCAGGAAGGCTGTGGTCCCCTGACAGCATCGCACAGGGAACTGGCCAGCCCCTTCTCTCCAGCCCTGGCCTTTTCCACCTGGGGAGCTTGGTGGGTAGCACAGTATTTTCCTTTTTGGCAGAGGCCGACAGGGTGGAGAAGGGAGGTGCTGGCTGGCAGGTCCATGTCCTGGAGAATGCTCAGAGAGGCCTGACACCACTGGGAAGGGGCTCCTTGGGAGAGCAGGACGATGGTCGAGGTGCTCGGTGCTGGTGGGGGATGGAGCAGCAGCTCTCTGTGCCTCTGGTTGCCCCACGGGTGTCCAGCCACCAGCTGGACCGTATCTCCGGAGCAGCCCAGAGGCCATGGGGATGGGCTGTGTGGGCGGACCCAGCTGTCGCCCTCCCGTCTGGCCCAGGTGGGGCTGGCCACAGGCATGGCTGGCCGTGCCAGGTCCCGCAGGCTGCCCTGGGGCCCCGGTCCTGCCGTGCCGCTCCCGGTGTGTGGTGTCAGTGCCACCTCGTGGCAGGCGCCCCGGGACCGCTGACCTCGCTTCTCCCGCAGCCTCCCACGGGTGTTCCCGCAGCCTCCCACGGGTGTTCCCCGAGGATGGCAGGTCACCCACGTGTCGCCGTGCCATGGCTGGCACTGGGAAGTGAGCGATGGGAAAGGTTCCTGTGGGACGGGATGAGATCCGTGTTCTGCAAGCAGATGATGGGGTGGCCACACAGCCCCGTCCTTGCAGCAAAGTGGGGGGATCAGGGACAGACAGACCCTGCTGGACGTTTGCCATCGGGGCATTACTTCATGCATGGGATGAAATGGTGCCAAGTTGCCCTCCCTGCCCTGCCTGCTGTCAAGGCTCTGCCCATGGAGGGGCAAGCTGGGTCTGTGGAGGCCTGTGGGAGTGCTTCAGGCTGGAGTATTTGGGCCTTTGGGTGAACTATCAGGAGACTAAACTGGTGGGTGAACCAGTAATGGGAGTGGAGAAGAAAAAGAGAGGGAGGAAAGCCTCACTTTGGAGACTGGGGAGCCTATGGGATTGAGAAGGCATTGGCAGACATGACTGGTGGCTGCAGAAGACCCTTGGCCAGGTGTTCCCTTTCCTCACACCACCATGCACTGTTGGCCAGCTGGCTCCTGCCTCTAGGACCATGGATGAAAACAAACCCATTTCCAAAGGGATAACAAGGCTTCTCTCCTTTACCACCAGCCTTTTTGGTGAGACTTGCAGGAGCTCAAATATGCTCATTACCTCTTCCAAAACAGGGTCAGTGGAATTGAAACGTCATGGGAGATACCAAAGTGATTTTGTAGTGAAGAGGGCTTTAGCCTCAACTGCTTTCTCTTGTGCAGGGGTTTCCTCAGACTTTCCCCTGGCTCTCTCTGAAACCTCATGCCTCTGCAGCCAGGTGAAGCCCAGCTTCACCAGCCTTTCTAGGCAGTTGTGCAGGCACTGGGGTGGGTGCCAGGCTGAGGAGGAAGCACAGCTCCTGCCTCACAGAGGGAAGTGAGAAACTGCTGTGGAAAGTCAAAGACAGGCAACATTTCCACCCCACCTCCCCCAAAAAAAAGACTTTCCCTAGTTTTGTCCTAATGGCCAGCTCCTGGCATGGCTGTGGGGAGAAGCAGGCAGCCAGGCTTGGCTGGTTCCTGGCCATGCAGGCAGCCATGTATAGGGAATGTGTTGATAAAGCCACTGTCAGGGGAGCCTCTCTGGCTCAAAGCCCTGCTGGACCCCTAAAGCCAGGAAAACGGGGACCCCATTCAGACCTCTGAGCATGACAGTGTGTTCACTTTATTCTTTAATTTTTACTGTCATCTTTTTCATCTCTATTCCCTTGGCTCTCCATGCAGACAGGATGGACAGCCCTTTGCACTGTACATAAGGATGGAGATGAGCACAGAGCAGGTTACAAATCCCTCCCGGGCAGTTTGGGAAGAAGGGCAGCACCGCCCCAGCACAGCTGGCAGTTGGGCAGACACGATGCAGGGAAGACATCCCTGTGCCATAACAGAGAGGAGATCCAAGAGGCACTTGCTGGTTGAGGAATCCCGTGTGGATCCAACTGCCACACTGCATGCTGCAAATGCCAGTGGCATCCCATATAGGGAGATACCTGGCTTAAGCTCCAGCAGAAATGAGAGCAGAAAGAAGGGCTTTTTCAATAGGATTTATATGGGTGTTTCTTTTTCAAATTCCCAGATCATCTGGGGTGGACAGTGCATCCACAGGGCTGGGCTGCCACTGTCACTGGGAGGGAAGTGGAGGTGGCTCCTGACAGCACTGCTCCATTTCCGTATCGCCCCCATCTCCCCTGAAACAGTTTGTAGTGCTTCTAGTGACAAAACATCCCCCGACCTGGCTGCGGCTCTTTTCCCCACTCCAGACACACAAAGGGTGTTTGAAGTTACTTCACAGGGTTGGGTGCAGAGCAAGAGGATGAGATGTCTGATCCATGCTGTGGCAATACCCCCTCTGCAAAGGGCAGGATGGCTGTTGTGGGTAACTGGGACACCGGCCCTTGAGTCTCCACAGTTTCTGCCACCCGTGTCTGATGTCCCAGGAGACAGTCACCGGGCACATGGATCACCTCTTCCACCACCCTCAGCCCCAAGGCTGAGATGGGGATCCATCCCCATCCCTGGGTCATGCAGAGCCTCAGTCAGATGAGGGTTCACCTCAGTCAGTGTGTTAAGGTCTGGGAGAGGAACTGTGGTGAGGAATTTTGGCCTTGGCACCTGTAGCAGCGCCAGTGGTTGCCTTTATGGGACTAATACCATGAATCTGGCTGCAGTGCTACAGACGGGAGAAGAGAAGTGGTCACCCTTTAACAGTAGCATCTGTCTTGCAGCTCCAGAGAGAACTCAGGCTTGGGCAGGGAGTCACCTTCCCATCATCAGAGGGACATCCCCTCCACAGAGTGCCTCCAGCTGACCCTGCTGGGAGTATGGCACTTGGTGGCCCATTAGTGCCCGGTGTCAGTGCCCCCACACCTTGCTTGGCCAGTTCTGTTCAGTGTCCAAAGCCTCCCAGACGAGGAATCCACCTCATCTAGGGAAGAGCAGACCCAGAGATGGTACTTCATGTAAATAACCCCTCAAAGCACTTCTAAGTGACTAATCACCTTCTCCAGGGGCTTCTCGCCAACCCAGAGTCTCTGTTCAGCCAGGGGACATCAACTGCTGTAATTACTCAGAATCAGCAATCCCACACTAATGAGTTCATTTCCCAAACAGAGCCCTTCCTGTGCAGTAAAGCCACTTACAGGTGGGTGAAGAAACCCATCTACGAGGAAATGCCTGGGATCAGCAATGCCGACCAGCTCTGGCACACAGGCAATGCCTTCAGGACACTCTTATAAATTAAGTCATCCTGCCTACGCTCACATCACTCCCTGACTGCTTTTGTGCAGTGTGGAAGCATCCATCCCAAGTGACACACGCTATTTCTGCAGCGACAGTGAGCTGAAGTGACGGTTGTCTGGGGCTCTAATGACAAGTTCAGGGAGCTCCACTGGACTAGCTGTCTCCACTGCCTGCCCCTGGTCCTCTCTAACTTCACGGACTGTAGGTCAGAGCAAGGACAGATTTTTTTTCCCCTCTTCACTGCTTGGGAAGATAAATGTTTTTCCCATCCCCAGGGCACCTGGCTGTGGAGTGGGTTCCCATGAGTGGCAGTGGATGCTTGCCATTGTGTGAAGAGAGCCCAGAGGGTGGAAAGACCTGGGTGTCACAGAGTGCAGAAGACAGGGAGGCAGGACTGTAAATGGGGTAGATGTTGGATGTGCCTTGCTTCATATGGCCTCAAGTCTCCTTTTATTGAGGTCAGTAGCAAAAATCAAGCTGGTGCTGTGTGGGATTTGGTCCTAAAGTAACTCCCTGCTTCCTTTCCCCCTACAGTTTCTGGTGTTCCAGAGCAATTGCCCATCCAGCACGAGACCTGTCCAGGCACAACAGCTGCCTTGCAAATGGCACAGCAGTCCCTGCCACGCTCCACTCTCACCAGTTGTGTCTCCTCTGCCTCCTCCCAATGGTTCAGCCATGGCAGCTGTCAACAGTCCATTGTAACTCAGCATGATCCACTTTGGCTTCCTCCAGCATTTACAGGTGTAACTTGGGACTCAGCACAAAAAGGACAGTCATCTTAAAAGGCTGATTTTGCTAAAGGCAAAGCCTGGTTCTCACAGAGCTCATACCCACGGGAGGCTTTGCTTGTCCCAGGAACAGGCTGTCAGTGTCCACAGGGGTTTGCCAGAGCACTCCAGCCCCATTCCCCTTGCCCTCAGACTCTCTCCTCTCTGGCACAGTTCTGGGTGGTTTTGGTGGTGACCAGCGCTGTGGCCCCCAGCTCAGTGGCGGGCAGTGGGAAGCTGTGGTTGCATTCCTCAGGCCGGGGGTACACGGCGGAGAGCAGAACAATGTCACCGTCAGCACTGCCCTGGCAGCATGGCCTCTGTTTTGCCTTGGCTTTCCTGGGTGGTCCTGGCATCTTCAGGCTCTCATCAAGATACAGGCACGGAGTTGGGCTCAGGGCACCATCTCCCTCTGGCATGGCAGGGTCCTGGCTGGGCAGGGGGCTGGCGATGTCTGTGTTTTCTGGGAAGGGACAAGAAAAGGGGGTTACTGGGCTCATGGAATGGGGTCAGGCAGGCCCCAGGGAGATGGTCCTGTCCCTAGAGGAGAAGATGGATCTTGAACAGGAGGAGTCTCCAAGGTCCCCACACCTCTCCTGCTGCATAATTGCTCCTGCTTACAACCCAATGGGCTTTTCCCCCCCTAAAAGACAAGAGGGAAAGGCCGAAACTTGCACTTCCACTTCAAGTCCTCTTGCTGAACCCTGCCAGCAGCAGAAGAGCCCGGCCCGTGGCAGCTTGCCCTCCCCGACTGCCTCCCACTTAAAAATAGACTTGTTTACACACTTTGAATGCAGCCGTGTGCCTCCAGCCCCAAGCCTCCTGCCACTTTCCACACATCCAGTGCCACAGCACTGGGCTTGCTGTGGTGTAGCCTTGGGGGACAAGGGGGATGTGGACCAGGGCATGCAACAGGAGGCTGAGTAGTGCCTCCAACACTCCTTAATGGCCAGATCTCTCTCAGCGCTGGATTTCTCCCTTCTCTTTCGTTTTTGGTATTTTTCCTAGGCATGTGCGTCACAGGCTGTCGCAGAGCAGAAAGGCCCCGGGTAATGTCCCCCCGGTCTGAGTCACCATCCAGCACTGCCAGAAGTGTGCAGGCAAGCCAGGGCACAGGGACCAGCTGCCCCACTGTGGACACCCATCCGGGTTGTGGGGCAGTGGTGAGAGCCAGCATCCCTATGGATGCAGCATCCCTTGGGGGTCCTGGGGAGCCATATCCCCTACCTAGGAATGGGGAGGAGTGAAGCCAGGCAAGCCCACTTCTGAGAAGATTGTGCAAGGCTGAATCAGTGCCAGTGCAGGGGCCCCCAAGGGATGAAAGAGCCGCCCCAACAAAATGGGCCATCATGGAGCACTGTGGCCTTACTCTTCTGGAAGTCCCCTGCTAGGAAAGGCTCAGCTCCATCCCTTGAACTCCAGCCCTAATTTTGCACCAGACAACCCTGTGCAGTGCTGCAGTGTCAATGGGGCTGGCCCTGATATCTCACTAGGGTCTTTGGGATATGTGTTAGAGGATGCCGGGCATCCCAAGCATGAGAAACAAGCTGGGTAGTCCACTTAGGACCCCCATTGCAGCACCACAGGGAGAGGCTGCCTCTGGAGCCATCCCCAGGTGTCCACCACTGCCCCCACTACTCCCACTCCCTCCATGGTCCTCTGGTTACCGGGGGAGAGGGCTCTCACCAGTGAGCTCACAAAGCTACTCACCAGTGCTCCATCTGTGTCCCATGTGGAGGGGGGATGGTGCCAGGACATGCTTTAAGCAAACAAAGGCACAGGGAGACCCAGCAAAGGGAGGGATGGCTCAGCAGGGTTGTGCTGGCAGTCAGGTACAGGCATAGGTTCCCAGGGAATACAGGACACTGTCACTCAGGCAGTGAGTCAGATGTCCCAAAATGCCATAGGATGCCTGCAGAGCTGATGTTGAGGTGGAGGAGCTAGCCTGGACAAGGATGTGCCTCAGGGGAGCCAGCAGTAAGTGATCCCATCTACTCAGGGTCTTCAGGGTGTTGTGAGAGGAATAGGAAGAGGTCTCCTACCTTTGTCCTCTTCATCTGCTGTCTTCCTTGTTCTCCTCCGCTTTCCCATCTTGCAGGCCAGGAAGCCACAGAGGGCAGCCAGAACCAGGATGAACCCCACCACCACCGGGACTCCGAAGGTCAGGAAGGTGCTGGTCAGGGTGGGTGCCAGGGTAGGCTCTGCTGTGGGGTGAGATGCCAGTAGTGTCAGGACAGGGGGGGAGAGTTGAAGGAGGAAGGAGGGCAGCAGCATTTTTTACCTGGCTGGCTGGCCTGGGGGCTGTGGTGGCAGGGAAGAAGAGTGGCACTTAACTGTGACCCAGGTGCCACCAGCAACAAAATATCCCCCTGCTTGATGTGACCCTTTCCCTGCTTCCTGTCCCTGGGTGGTAGGAGATGAGAGCCTCCTGCTCTTCCCACAGTCACCCCTGGGGCAGGTTGATACACCCTAGGGTGGATCATCTGACTTCTCCCTGCACCGTGTTCCTCTCACTGGAACTGTCTGCGCTCTTCCCCTCTGCTTTAGGTGAAGGTGGTGCTCCGTCCTCCATTGCCACCCCAATAGCCATCCTCAGGAGAAGGTGCCTTCCACCTGCCCACCCCCGGGGTGCCCCCAGCCTCCTTGGCCCACCACCACCCAGCCCTGGGGAGCTCAGACTGCAGCTGCCCTTGTCCCCTTACTTGTGTTGTCCTTGAACAGGTCGGAGCACTTGATGCACGACTTGGTCAGGGTGTCGAAGCACTCGAAGGAGAGGCAGGAGGGGGCAATGGCAGCTTTTCCTGATGAGGACATGGCAGAGTGGGAGTGAGAGCCCAGCTCTTGCATGGCATAGCAGTGATGGGGCCGCCGGAGTGTGAAATCGCAGCGCCCCAGGCCCCGTGGCAGAGGGAGATACAGTCTGTCAAGCTGCGTCGTCTCCCTTGGGGCTCACAATCGCTGTGCTTGGCCTGGGGCGGATCTTCACCAGGGAGGAGGAGAGCAAGAGACCAAGCCCTACCCCTGCCTGCCTTTGCAATGTGCCCTCAAACTACCCCTCTCCTCCGAAATATGCTTCCGAAATCCCCGCAGCCCCTCGTGTGCCTCAGCCACGCAGCACCTCGTACGCAGCGGTACTGTGTCCCAGCCTGACCTCCTGGATACTCACTCCTCCCCTGCCCACCTGAATGTTGCCCCCAGCCCAGGCATGTCCCCCAGTCTGCTCCTTCCTTTGCTTACACTGAAAAGCCCCCTCGGCCTCCTCCAGTGTCTACAGGAGACTTTCCTGTGCACAGATCTTTACAAGACTCAGTCCCAGGGGCACAGATCTGGCTTGGATTGAAAATGCAAAGGACCACAGGAGAAAAGAGTGAAAGGGTACTGATGTTTCCCCTTTTAAAAGCTCCCACTGGTCCAAGGACACGTCCTGCCAGTGACTGCTCTGCAAGCAGGACAACTGTTTTATGTTCTTCACCCCTACTGACAGTGCTCTCCGTCACCTTGCTCTCTGCATCCTGTCCAACACAGACCTGGACCTGTGGCTCCTCAGCACCATCTCTCATTCTCCAGGGTTCAGATATGGTTCTGCTCAGTAAATGTGCAGGACATGGGCAAAGCAGGTCACACCAAGCAAGCCTGGTCCTCAACCATTGGAAAGGATTAAAAAAAAAACTTTAATAGTCTTAAGCATTCCTGATCAGGAGCAGGAGAAATGTTCTGCCACCAATACCCACCCATCAATGCCTGATGCTTGAGACCTGAAGAGATGGATTTCAGTGCTGTAGGTGGATTTCTTCCCTTCCTACTGAACAAAAGTCACATCCTCTTTTTCTTCACTCCGTAGGAAAGAAAGGGGCCAGCCACAGTTGTTGGCTGGCTCTCAGCTGAGGGAAGCAACACTTCCCTCAGTGACCTGCCCTACCCAGGAGATCCCTAATAGGACTTTATTGCTGGAGTCATGTCCTTCCAGCAGCTATAGCATCTGGACTCCTTCTAGGGAGGCCTCTACTGCCCACTGTCCTGGATCAAGGCTGGGAGGGGAGGACAAAAAAATCCAAAGGGTTCTCTGGCTCAAGCTGACAGAGTACCAGGTGCCCCCACTAGGCAGCTGTGGTCCTCTGACACAGGCCTGAGGACTTGGTCCCTAAATGTGGCTGCCCCTCACCAGTGACTGTTGGGCAAGCTGAGCTCACAGGCTCCACATCCCACCTCCTGAAGTCCTCAGTAGGATGCAGTCACCAGCTCCCCATGCTAGATCTCACCCCAAGTACCGTTAGTTCTTTGGTACCCCATGCCCTGCAGGGGAGGAGCTGCCCTACAGCACATCTCCCTCCCTGCCAGCAACATTCCCAGAGGATATTTTGCATCACAGCAATGTTAAAGCAGCCCCAACATAGTCTCAGCCCCACTGTGGGCACTGCAGGGCTCCAGGCAATCCAAAGTCCCAACCAAAAACTGGTCACTGCCCAAAAGTTCCACACCTGCCGTGGTTTCACTTCCCCATCCAGCCAGTGTGCCCAGGCCCTTGGTCCCTCACCCCTGAGCCATGCCAGCAGGAATGGCTGCCAGAGGGCTGTGGGATGCACTGAGGAGCTATGGGAAGCCAGCCATTCTTGTGCCTGTGGCTCAGTTATTCCCACTCCGTCTTACTCAAAATAAAAGTCCCCAGTCGAGTGGGGGCACACCAAGCACTTCTCTCTCTCAGCGCAGCCCTGAGCCACAAATGGCGCAGACAGCTCAGCACCCTCTGCCTCGCTGCTTGCTGTGAGCAGGCTGCACTCACCCTGCTCATACCTGCTGGGGGAGTTGTGTCCAACAGCAGGACATCTCTCCATATCCCACTTCAGCTGACCCTCTGCTTCTCACGCACCCCAGGTGAGGACCAGGGCTGGGGTGCAGGCATGGGAGTTGGAGAGACAAGTGTACAGCAGCAGGGCAGCAAGAAGGGATGGAAAGCTGTGATGCAGTGCCATGACCCACAGCAGGGGGGAAAATTAAAGCCAAGGCTCACTCCAGTCCACATCTGAGCTCCACAGTGGAAAGACCTGGCAAGGAGAGGGCACCTGGAATCCTCACTGTTCCCAGTAGGCAACTCTCAGAAGTGCAAGTGTAGGATCTAGGGCTGAGAAGATACTTTGTCTTGTGGGCTGGTGGGGCTGAGGACATGCATGTAGGCAGAGGATCCCCACAAAACATCCAGTGCTCTGTCAGGATACTTATCCCCAAACCACCTCCCTGCTGCAAAGGCCTTGCTGTTCCTCTTGCCCTGGGGTGTTTCCACCTGCTAGTCTCCTTTTCCCAAAGACGTATGCTCCTCCATCATTCCCATTTTCCTCACCTCTCAAATGCCCCCACTGCACTTCCCCCATGTTGATCATCACTCAGGGACCCCAGCCCCTATTTCTGGAGGTCCCACAACAAGACTGTCACCCTGCCTCTCTTCCTCCTGTCTCTCCCTCCCGCTTGGCCTAAAGTGTGGGGTGGGAAATGGTTCCAAGCATCTGCAGTACCACACTTACAGATTAACTTTGTGAGCCCTCCAGTCAAATACGCACACTGGGGAAAGCCCAAACCAAGTAACCTACACAGTGCTTTCAACACGGAGAGTGAGATTTACATTAAAGCTCAGGAGCTGACAGATCCCATTTCAGGACATGGAAAGAAACCTTGAAGTTTCAAATGCATAGTGGGGAGCCCAGGGATGGCAGCCATCATGTCCTCCTGTGAATGAAGCATTCCCAGATCTTGTTACATGGAAGGAAGATCCTGTTATATGTTTGAGCCTCATTGCTGCCACTGATGTTACCGAATTCCCCCCCCATTTTCTCATCCCTCTTTATCATGCTCTACAGGTCTTCCCTACCCTCATCCCAGCTTGTCCGCCTCCTCCTGGACCAAGAAAATATGTTTGAATTTACATGATAATGCTTACTCAAGGAGAAAACCAGTGCTGACCATCCCAGCAGCACTCACACACGTGTCTGCTCATGAGCACGGCCCAGGTTCTGGGCGTCAGCTGTCCTGTTTTTCATCTCCCCCATCTTTGCCTCCCCTTCCCTTCATAACTGTGATCCTTTTTGGAATAGCAAAAGTTAAAGCTTGGTGAGTAGTTCGAGCTGTTTGCATCTCAGAGCTGAATACGCTTGATAATCGCACAAATGCATAATTAAAGAGCAGAAAAAATGACTCACTGGATAAGGAAATGCGCTTTTCTTATCTCCTCTGCAGAGAAATGAAAACCCCAGGAGCCTGGGTCTCCGGCTAAGTCCTTTTATTAAACAAATAAACCAGAAAAGGTATCAAATGAGCGATTTAAGAATTATGTCTTCATCTCAGAGTCAGATAGCTCGATTTCCAGTGCCGTTTGCTCCCATCCCACACCTGGAAGGCTGACTTTGGCTGAGGTCAGCTCGGATCAGCTGAGATCCCTGGGATCCCTGTGGGGGACAGGGCAGTGCTGGTGCTCCAGGAGCATGGAGGGTTGGCAGGGGCCTGCGAGGGCTCGTGCACACATGAGTGACTGGACTCGTGTGAGCGGTTCCTCTGGTCTCAGGGGTAGGTGAAGTGACTCACGCACGCACTTGCAAAACCGCGCGTAGCAGAAAATATCCCCCGAAAGTTCACCTTGTGCTCGTGCACACCGGAAACCCAAAGGCTTGTCGATCAGAGAAGCTGCGAGGTGTTTACTGAGCAGACCCTGTTACCTCAGGACAAACGTCTGACAGGATGCACCCAACGCCTCGGGAACATCTCGGCACAGCCTGACACCTGCCCTGCATTCAGATGGTCCAGTAAAATGCCTTGGCTGGAGCCAACTCCCAAAGCCCATTCAGCACCTCATCCCAACATTCCTTCCCAACACCCCTGTGCTGGCTGGTGGGAAACATCCCTTCCCAAAAAGTACCACTATGGCTATTAGGAGCCGATTTCTCATAGTTCCAGCATAAGCCTTCTCCTCGGGATGCCCTGGGATCCTTCGTAAAGCCAGGTGGGCTTTAATTTTCATTTTAGGAATAATATAGGAAACCAAAGGTTTCAAGAGGTTCACAATCTAAACTCTAAACCCCAGAGCACCTCTGTAGGTACTCTGCTTCCTATCAAGGGGGTTTGTGACACTGCTTACCCACCTGCATGGGGTGTTTGGTGTGGGGCAGTGTTCCAGCCTGTCGAGCAGAACTTGTCTCCCTGCTCCTTGTTTATATGTCCCTGGACTTCCACAAGGCTGAATAAAAAAGGTCAGGTGTCCTTGCCTCCCCCTGCAAGGGGCCTTGGACCCCCGCAGGGATAATGCTGAATACCCAAGTCAGACTTCTCAGTGGGCTGCTTGTTGAAGAACTTTCTGGGGTTACAGAAGAGTGTGTCAACACTTCCTGAGCTCAAACTCCCTCTGCCCATTCCCTCTCCCTGATCCACAGAGCCCAAGAAGGACAAAGCAGCACAGAGAACACAGGAAAAACCTAGTTTGTCTGATCCAGCCCTGAAGGGGCTGAGCCCTTTATGTCCCCCGGTGGGGAGGAGTGAGAGGTGTTTCCAGCTGGTGTGCTGGCTGCTCTTGCTGCTCTCCAGAGTGTGGAGGGGACTCAAGCCTTGGGTCCCTGGCACTGCGCTGGCTCCTGCAAGTTCCACCCCATCATGAGCAACACAGCGTTAGCTGAGCCTGGCTCTTCTGCCTGAAGGTGAACAAACCTTGTACTCCCTGCCCACTCTGCTTTGCAGCAGGGATGCTGCCCCCACCCCCATCCTGTGGAGAAGTGGCATCCTGTCCTGTCTCCCTTGGGCAACTGGGGGAGGGGGGGGGAGAGGGGGCAAGTGCCCCCCCCGTTTTGCCTGTGGCTGTTCCCAGGGAGTGTTCACGTGCCCTGTCAGGGCCAGGCAACACCTCCAGCACCAAAACAGAAACCAGTGGCTGAGGGTGATGTGCTGCCACAG